TATATATATATATACACACACACAGTATATTACATGTCACACTACTGGTCCAAGGTTTTAGAACATCCCAATTTTTCCAGTTTTTTATATAATAAAGAGTGCAATGAGACATTAAACAATTTAATGTCTCATTGCACTCTGAAATGAAAGCATAGTACAAATAAGCAGTTGGAGTTTTAAAAAAAAGAAAAAGAAAAAAAAGGAATTAATTTATCGGCCAAAATGTATTTTAAACTTTTGACTCATCAAAGTAGCCACCTTTGGCAGCTATAACAGCTGAACTCACCTGTGGCATGCTTTCTGCAATTGAAATCAAATATTCTTCACAAAGTTCTTCCCTTATCAGCAGAGCTTCCCATAAATGTGTGGCACCTGTAGGTTGCTTTGCTTTCACTCTTCTGTCCATTTCATCCCAAACCAGTTTGATGAAGTCTGGAGACTGTGCTGGTCACTCAATGTTTTCAAGCTTAGAAGTTTCTTTTTCTCCAGAGGTAGTTCTGGCAAAGCTTGGACTTATGTTTTAGGTCATTATCTTGCTGTAGGATAAACCCCTGACCAACTAGGTGTATGCCAGAGGGTACTGCATGGTGCTGCAGAGTGCTGTGATAGCCGTTTTTGTTCAGGGTGCCTCTTACTCTGCACAAGTCACCGACCCTGGATCCAGCAAAACAGCCCCAGACCATCACACTTCCTCCTTTATGTTTGACAGTGGAGCTATCCTTTCGCCTACTTAAAGGCATACAAAGATCCTGTGTGATGAACCAAAGATTTCAAATTTTGATTAAACAGGTGAGGCTTACTTATTACGACCATTATTAAGCTGTGCTTGAAGCTGTTGCCTGTGAGCCACCTACCACGCAAGCTGTTAGCTCTCAGAAACTTGTCCTCTGATTCAGTTGTGGCTTTGGGTCTGGCAGACACCTTTCTGTCAGAGATTGCCCCAGTGTCTGAGTGTTTCTTGATGATAAAGAAAACTGTACTCACTGACACCTTGTCTTTCTTTGCAATTTCTCTGTAGGAAAGACTTGCATTTTT